TGCTTACATAGTATGTGAGACAGGGTCTTCCTGTGCTGACTGTGGTACTGGAAAATATCTGGGCTCATGAATTTCCTGTTTCAGCATCTTGAACAGCTGGCATGACAGACACTTGTTATTAAACTCTGAATATATCTTTTATCCCATCATTTTCAAAAATGTGTGTTGTTATAGATGTACTTAGTATACAAACTTTGATCCTGGTGCCTGCTACTGAATGTTTCTTGTTAGTGACAGACCAGCAGTATTTTTGTATGTTTACTTAGAACAATCTGCTGGAAAACCTTTAAGCCCTGTGAGAGGGTTAGTTACTCCTGTCCCTTATGGAAATTTATGAGAAGGGTTTTGTTTGATCAGGACATGAACCTCAGTATAGAAAGCACTGAAATGTGGTTTGTATGAGGAGGAGAATTCTGAATGGAGGTTGGGCCAGTGTGCACTTAGATCTCACCAGGAGCCTAGAGGGGGATCATGAGGGAGTCTGCCTAATCGTTCCTGAGGGGATCATAACTAAATACTGCCCAGTTTGATCCGAGGCATCTGAGTAGGGTGGGCATGATCAGGTATCAGCCTTTATCAGACTTCAAGACTAGTGCAGGTGTGTAGGACGTGTTTCTGTTCCTAGGAGGACAGGGTGAGCTTCCTACTCTGCTCTTGTCCTCTGCTGTCCCCACATATGCTCAGAGACTCAGGCAGTTTGGCAGGTAGCGCTGCGTTTGACCCACACTTTTTGAACTCTGTCTATGGCTGAAAAGAAAGCACATGTACTTTTGAGTTTCTGTGCCCAGTCTGAAGTATCCACCATGCAAAAGTGTTTAGGGCCTCAAAATCTACAGAATTTACATTGCTCTCAAAAGGAGAAGGAAAGAAATTTTGGAAAATAAAAATGTTTATACATAAGCAATTCATGTATTTCTGATCTACCATATATTGAAGAATCTAATTTTATATTTTTAAGAATTATTTTTCAGATATGCAAATACAGGTACCATTTGATTTATACTTTAGATTGGATAGCACTGTAGCTTTTGTTCACATACTAATAGACACCATCAAAGTGGCATCATTCTGTATATTTTTATCAATGCATTTCCTTACATAGTATTATAAATATTCACAGTAATTATCATTACTGCACAACACGTTATTTAAATATACCATAATTTAGTTCTCACTCATTTTGGGAGGTTCCAAATTTTGTAATTAATGCTTTGTGTCATGTAAAGAGGGCAACAGATGTCTGATACTTAGAGGAGCGCTCACTGATCAAAGGTGAAGTACGTTGAAGAGTAAAATGGCTGCGTCCAAAGTTATATAGTTTTTAAATTATCTTATGCACATTATCAAATTGCATACTAAACAAAATAAGTGCATTTTCAGCTCAGAGAAGTCACATTTCTTTAGCCTTTACCCTGGACAATTGGCCTTAGTTAACGTTAAACAAGTGACGTCATGTTGGTAGTATGAGCAGGTTCTTTATTACCGTTTGCATTGTTCATATGGCTTGCATTACTTTATGAGTATATCATTTGATTATGTACTCCTCGATAATTTTTTATCTTAGAAAAGAACTTCTAACTTTTTAAAAATGTTTTGCATATTAAGGACAAAGAAATATGGTTGAACAAATATTTTTAAAAGGATTTACTTGGCATTTCACTTGTTGTTAAGTATTTTTACATAAATCATGCTTAGCCAGACATAGATATGAGCTTCTAGGTTAGGAATACGTACCTGTCATTCATATTTTTCTTATTCCTATTTTCACTGCATCTCAATGTATAATGCTGAATATATTTTTCTCTTGTTCATTACTTTGATATTCTAACAAAGTATTGTCTCTGGAATTTATTTTCTGAAAAAAATGTACATTCGCTGGTTGTCAAAATAGTTTTTTACTGTGAACAACACAATTTAATTTTATGAATTTCATTTCATATATGACAAAAATGGTAGGCAATAATCAAACAGAAATACATAGAGATTAGATAGATTAATGATGGATATATAGAGACTGATATAGATAGATGTTGGGAAAGACTCACGGGTACCAACTGCAAACAAAGATGCACAGACGTTCAATGCAAGCAAAGGGAGGGCTCGAGCAAAAAGGCTGCTGTCTGCCTTTGGTCTTTTTTATATATATATTGAGTCTCTGCCTTAGAGGTACATTAGGAGAACATAACAAGATCTCATTCGATGTTTCCAAGACTAATGTTTAGGCTATAGTAAGCATTAGAACCTGCTAGGCATCTGGGAGCAAGCACACAAGAACAGGGTGTCCTTGACTTCCAAGTGTTCTTGGTTACTCCTGCAGCTCTTGCCACCCTGTTTTCTTTTTCCTCATCTCACATGTCCTGCAGATTATGTAGCATGCCTCTATAGTAAATCTTTCTTATCCCAACAGACAGAGGTTGCTTTTTAATAATCTGTCCTATTGATGCTTTGATTAGTTAGTTTTCTGTATATAACATGCTTTTTTCATGTTCTACTTCATTCCTTCCATAGATTTTTCAGATTTCAGAGCATTTTTATAAGTGTTGTTATTAATATAAAAGTTCTTTTCTTTTAATGTTTATGCATAGTGTCTACACTGACAAAATGGTTTTATTTTAACATTTATAATATATGCTTTTAGTGCTTTTATCTCTGTATTGAATCTTAGGGCTTAATATCTTTTTCTTGGTTTGAAAATCTGTAACATGTGTATTTTTGTATGTTACCTGGTTTCTGTCTTTGCTTCTGATGCCTGTTCTAGCTCATTTTTACTTTTCACAGTAAACATAAATAATTATTTTAAATGTCTTATTGTTTATTTTGTTAAGGATATTGCTGCAACATATATATTTTCCCCCAAGGGACTTTCACTTACCAATTTTATATTTGAAATCTCTTTACTTTTCTTCATTAACTTAGTTTGTGCTGTGTCTATAGCAGAATTTTTTAAATTTTTATGTAAATAATTTTATTACTAATAGGATATTCATGACTGCTTCCCTCTTCAATTCTTCGATTCTTTCTTAATTGCAGAGTATTTATTCTATGACTTAGAAACTCCAAAACAGGGGCCCGTGAGATAGCTCAGTGTCTAAAATACCTGCTTAGGCAAGCTCAGGGCAGCACATGAGCTATGATTCAAACCCAGGGACTACATGACATGTCAGAACTGCCTGCTGGCTAAGGCAGTTTATTATCAAACAAATAAAATACACTGAGCTTTAAAAGGCTCAAATCAACAACTTCTGACAATTTCCATTTGTGCTTATGACTCACTACTCTTATGGACTACTGGAGTATATTGGGTTATTTTGCTGAATTCAAGTACCTACAATCTTTGGACTGGCATCAAGTAGGAAAAGGTCTTTTAAAGTCTTTTCCAAATACAGCTTCTCTAACAGCAATGGAACACCTATCTCTGACAAAACAGAACAAAAAGGGGATGGAAATAAGGACTATTTTGTAGTGAAAAAAATATGTATGTATATACAAAATAGGATAGCTATACAGCTACTTTTTTCTTCATTCAGTGAGAAAGGTTTGTACTAATATTGTTTAGACAAGATATCATGTCTGCATCTTGTCCTCTGAATAATTACTATGAAGGCAACAATATCCAATGTATTAATTATTGCAGGAGTCCTACTAACTTCTTTTGAAACTGTTTCATGGCTATTTTATCTTTTTTCTCATTAAAATGGATAAATTTTTTTAAAAAATTCCAGTTGTGTCAGCGAGCCTACCACCAGGACACACTGAAAGAGCAATTAATTGATATGAAGTGCGGTGGCACCCACCTCTAATCCCAGCACTTGAGAGGCTGATATTAGAAAATCACTATGAGTCTGATCTGTGTAGCAAGACCCTGTAAACCTTATATTAAATACAAAAAACCCACCCAACTACAGAGCAATAGTAATTAATGAAAATACTCTTTATAGACAGCTTCTTTAAGAAGCTTCATGACACAACATTCAAACAAGATTGCACTTTGTCAATAGTACATTCAGTTTTCTTTAAATAAATCTTTAGGAGGGGAAGGGTGGAGCAAATGTCTATGCCTTGAATCCCTAGCTGGAGGGTGAGGCTGTACGCCTGACCTGCACCCCTGACCTGCACCCACCTTGTGACTCACTGCTTTATTCTTTAAGCAAAATATAAATTTTGACCTGAAAGAATTTCAGAGTTCTTAATTGCATATTTATATTTCTAAAGATGTACAAAATGTAATTCTGTATAGAAATTTTAGTCTGAATACAAATAGCAAGGTCATATTCACTCCATAACAAATATAACAGAAGGATTAAGCAACTCTTCTTGGAGTCTAGTAAGGATGCTAAGCTCTTTCATGAGAAGCCCATGCTCCTATTGATCTAATTGCAATTGCCTTCTAAAAAGTCAATATTCTAACATCATATTTTTTTAAAATAAATTATTTTCTGAATACAGGATCTCATTGCACAGTTCAGATTAATACTGACCCTCCTGTCTGAGCCTCCACAGCATATGGATTAAAAGCATGCAACACGATGCCTGAGATTCCTGGGCTGGCACGGCATGAAGTACTGAGGATTGAACACACTATCTTGCACTTGCCAGGCTGGCTTAGACCGCTGAGCTATCTGCCCAGTCCTAACATCATCACATCCATACTTGATTCTTAATAGTGTGTGGAAAGAATACTACCATTCAGGGTGTAAATGGTGCTGGACTGGATTGGAAAATGATCATTGATTGCACATTTCCCTTAAGGTCTTCTGTGCTCTCTGTTCGGACTTACATCGAGCAAGTACCAGAACTACCTGGCCTTCATTTTTGCCATAGATGAGATCAACAGGAATCCTCATCTGTTACCCAACATTTCTTTGGGCTATGAGTTCCATAATTTCATTAGCAGTCATTGAAGAACACAAGAAAATTCCTTTGTTTTGCTCACAGGACAACATGAGATCCCTAATTACATTTGTAGAAAAGAAAGCAAGGGTGTAGCAGTACTGACAGAAATGCCATGGGAAACCTCAGCTCAGATTGGACCATTGCTGGAGCTCTATAAATTTCCACAGGTGAGGCTTGGTGGGGCAGGAAAATAGGGAAGAACATTCATGGTGCTTCACATACCTGGAAATGATGTCAACAGCTATTGTGTCCTACCTTTTCATGAGGTAGAACCAAAGGACACTTGGAACATTAAGGGTTAAAGATGAGGTAGATTAACTTCTTTCAAGGTATATAATGTACCAGAGTACAAATACTGAGACTTAGTGTCTTAATTACAATTTTGTTACTTTTTCCTTTTTGGAATCAAAGACAATGTCAAAAGGGAAAATATTTTTGCATATCTTAATACATTCATTCGTTTAAAAAATATCTCCTGTGGATGATGTTGATATTAATGGAAGAAGCATGTGTCTTTTTACACAAGTAGGAAGTGCTATTCAGGGCTACTGTTGTCCTTTCCATCAACACTCTAGTGTGTTTCCCAATTTTATTTTCCTTTAAGGTTACCTTTGGCTCATTTGATCCTACACTGATGGACAGCGGCCAGTATCCTTCTTTCCATCAGGTGGCTCCAAAGGAGACATACTTGGTCCTTGCCATGGTGTCCTTGATGCTTCATTTCCACTGGACCTGGGTGGGCCTGCTCATCACAGAAAGCTATAAGGGTCTTCAGTTTCTCTCAGATATAGGAGCTGAGATGGACAGGAACAGAGTCTGTGTGGCCTTTGTGGAAATGGTGTCAACAGCGACTGTGTCCTATCACTCAGCTGGAAAAAAAAACATGACATCCTGACTGCAGAGACATCATCTATCAACTTGGTGGTCATTTACTATGATACTGATAGTGCAAATGATGTAAACTTCCACATAGTGCAAAACTTAGTGACTTGGAAAGTCTGGGTGACAAACTCACAATGGCATGCTGACCTGGATGGGAGAGATTTCATCAGAGACCCATTCCATGGGATTCTTGTTGTTTCATATCACCATGAAGAGATTTCAGGTTTCAAAGATTTTGTCCAGGAAGCTACGCCTCTCAAATACCCAGAGGACACTTACCTTGTTATGTATTGGTCCAAGAATTTTGATTGCTCATTCTCTGATTATTACTGTGCATTGAAGAACTGTACCCCTAATTCCTCTCTGGCTTGGTTGCCTCTGAATTGTTTTGAAACAGCTGTGAGAGATAGGAGCTACAATATATACAATGCTGTCTGTGCTGTGGCCCATGCCCTCTATGCCATGCTTTTTGAAGAAGTACAAAGATCACCAATGAGAATTAAGGAAGTAATGATGTTTTCTCCCTGGAAGTTAATGTGCCTTCCCTTGGATGTTAGGCGATGTCATCACGGTGCTTCGTTCAAGCTAGTCTATGTGATTCACCGAAGAATATTCGAACAATTTCTGCAAAATACTAGACATTGAGAATCACACTTATTATTAAACAGGTGATTTTTGTGGTAATTGGAAATGACCTTCTATCTACTATCCACTGTATCCAACCTAGTATACATGTAAGAAGCATGAGGCCAGCTCTTTGCTTCTGCCTCTAGCAGGTCAATGTCTTACACATGTATACATGTTCCACATTTTTTCTCTAGACAATAGAAAACCTGTAGTCACTTATAGAACTAAAGGCATTAAACTTGACTGTTTATGAACCCATTTTTTGGTAGATTCTAAGGGAATAACCAGGTAAAATGAAAGCTGTGTGTTTCACATGTTTTGAATTCACAGTTGTTGTTTTCCCCAACATAATTCTACACAATTTTACATAGTTTTTCTTATAACATTGTTTTCTGAAATTGGGTGAAATTTATTGACATGGTGACTTTCTAGTCCTGAAATGTTTTCATGCTCTATTTTAATAGACACTAGTGTTAAAGTCACTAAATGTTAAAGAGATTGAAGATGCTTATGCTCTGCCCCCACATAATTTCTGTCTTTCTCCTGGAGCCCTGTTCTCATAGGGCAATGTGTCTTTTTAGATACATCTCTTTCTGAAGAAGATTCAATTTTCCAGTCCTTCTGGAGAACTAGTGAATTTGGATGAGAGACAGAAACTGGATTCAGAGTACGACATCCTCAATTTTTGGAACTTTCCAGAAGGTCTTAGACTTAAAGTTAAAGTTGACACATTTTCTTCCCATGCTCCACATGGCCATAAATTGACTGTATCTGAGGATATGATAGAGTGGGCCACAGGAGTTGCAGAGGTATGTCCCACCTAATCACAGCACACCGACTAAACACAAGTAAATGAAACACTGGCAGAGGCTTAATGCCACAAATTTTTCACACGTAATTGTCACATGTGAAAATTTGATAACAATAATGAGTTTTCCATTTGAAAAAATGTTTGCTACTTTTTTGATAGGTGGAAATGAAGTGCATGTAATTTATTATTTTCTAAGTATATTTCATATAATGAAATAAGTTTAGTATGCAACGACATAATTTTGCTTATGTATGCATACAAATTAAGTTTTTTTCCTCTATCTCTGTTGAAAAAAGTAAATATCTAAGAAGATGGTCTTAACCATCCAGCAGAAAAGTATAAAAACAAAATATAAGAAGTAAAGCCATGCTGTTATGTTGAGCTGTACGAAACTCAGGTCAACAATTTCTGACATTGCCAATCAAGCAGAAGACCCAATACTATTATGGGCTACTGGACTCTTTTAGTATATTTTGCTGAGTTTACACACCTATAATATTTAAATGATGGAACTTAACAAAAAAAAAGGGGATACAGATGAATGTCCATTTTGTATCTGTGTATTCAAAGTGGTTAGGACACAGGTATAGTTAATATTCTCTTAATGAATAGAGTGATTTGTTCTAATAGTGTTTGTAAATAGGATATCATGTCCGAATCTTGTACAGCAATTAACCACTAGGAAGAATGTATGCAATATGTTAATTATTGAAACTGTCCTACCAATTTGATTTGAAAAAAAATAATACTAATAATATTCACTGTAGTTTTTGATCATATCTTGTCTTTAAGAAATATTTTGCTAATTATTTTGTTATATTTGTAATTAAACTTGTATGAGGCCAGGCTGGCTCTACAAATTTTAAAATGTTAAAATATAAATTAAAAAATTAAAAAATGAAGAAGTTAACAACATATATTTTTTACTTAGACTCCCTGCTCAGTCTGCAGTGAGAGTTGCTATCCTGGATATAGAAAGAGCCCTCAGGAGGGAAAGACTCCCTGCTGTTTTGATTGCATCCCTTGTACAGACAATGAGTTTACCAATGACACAGGTAGGAGCATCTCGTCTGGACGCTTTCTCACTGTGTATGGTATTCAGTACATTCATCCAGGAAATGGTAAAATTGTAGATGACACCAAAGGTAAAACTCCTCCTTAACTTCTCAAGTTATTAGTTCTAGAGTGCTATTGACTGTTGCAAAACACATTTTCCCCTTTCAAATGTACTGAAATTTATTTTCCTTTTATACCAGTTTTATACATCATTCTTTTTGTTTGGTTTTTTCAATGCTAGAAGTTTAACCAACATGTGCTAATATCAATGGTCTCTCTGCTCAGATATTCTTATTTTTATTATAAGGCAGAATATCACTATTTTGCCTCAGACTGCCCTAAACATTCACCAGACTTGTCTCAACACACTGATTATCTGGAGTAACACATGAACATTGCTACATCTAAATACATTGTTTTATTTTTCCTGCTCCACTAAAGTATTACTTGATCAAGTCAAGCCCTGTTCCTCTAGCCACATCATCTGTGTTCTATCTCCACCGTGAATTTGAATGCAGAGCTGTAATAAATCCAACTCTTTACAATCTTTGGAACCACAGCATGATTCCATTCAGGATAAGGACAGGCACACTTCATTTTTCAGTGTCTGACACTACTTTTCACACATGGCATTTGCTCAGAGAGACTAAGTTGCATTGGATATAAAGGATTGTGTCTGATGAACAATATGCTTATAGCACTGCACAATCCAACTTTTAGGATTAATCTCCCTAGTCCTGGAATGCATAGTGCAGTAGGGAAGATATCCTACAGCATAAAATGGAGTATGAACCACAGAAATGCAAGGATGATGTTCACACAGAATATGGGGTTTAACAAGTCATAATATCTAGACTTCAGGAGCAGTCATGGACCTCTTTACAGAAGTGAAAACTTTAGTGTTATACCAGAAGAAATAGTAGCAGCATGAATCCTTCTCAGGATTAATAGACATACTGGCACATTCCCCACTCATGTGATAGTCAAATAACCTAAAGGAGAATGCTGTGCTATTGCAGTATGGATAAAATGAGGATGGAGATTGAAATATTCCATAAAATTTGTGAAATCTAATGTCGAAGAACATTGCACATCATGAGTACTACTTTGGGGATATTTAGCTTTCTTGCAAATCATGACGTGGAATCAACTTCCTGCTGAATAAGTTTTTATTTTTTTCAAAAATCAGTACATTGCCTATTGTTATCTTCTTACTGGTTATCCATAGTACAAGATGCAGACATGATATTTTGTCCAAATACTGATACCACAAATCGTTCTTCTCATTGAATTAAGAGAAAGGAGCTGTGTATCCATTCTAAATATTTGGTATATACAGATACGATACGGTCCTTCCTTTGTATCTCTATTTTTGTTTAGTTTTGTTAGAGATGAGTATTGCATTAGCATTTAAATATTGTAGGTGTGAGAGTTCAGCAAAATAATCCAATATAGTCCAGTAGTCGATAATAGTAGTGGGTCATCTGTAGGGCTGGCAATGTCAGAAGTAGATGCCATGAGCCTTCCACAGCTCAGCATATTAATATGGCTTTACTTCTTTTTTTTTTTTTTGGCAAAACCAGGGATTGAACTCAGGCCCTTGCACTTGACAGGGAAGTGCTTATTACACTGAGCCATCTCCCCGGCCCCATTATGGCTTTACTTTTTATAGCTCGTTTTTATACTTTTCTGCTGAATTGTTAAGTCTAAGATAAAGACCTATATAACAAGAAATGTATCTTTGTATATGATCAGGTCACTCAAGTCCCCTCAGGATTTATCCTGTTACCCTGTACTGCAATTTGCAGATCCTTTGTCAGTGTCAGCCAAGTGGATGAGTCACAGTCATTGTTTGACCGATTTGCTCCCTGTGAAAGCCTGAGAGAATGTTTTCTCTCTAGGTGACTGTCCTTAGGCACACCCTACATCATCGATAACATTACTCTGTGGCCCCATAATCTCCTTGATCAGAAAATTAGGGACACAACTGAGCTACATGATATTAAAGTACAGGTTCACCTATGTCCTGAGTCTTCACTGATCTTGAAAGGCTAGGGCCAAAATGTCATCTGTCTTTGCAGCCCTTCTTTTTCTCTAACTTTTAGTCTGCAAACTTAGGTTCTTAACCCTCCAGAAGAGAGGCTTATTATTACCCTACAACATATGCAGTTGGGTTTAACCTCACTGTCTAAATATCAAACATCTTGGGAATGACATGGAACAGGTGTTTTCCATATAGTATTAATATGGTAAAATTAAATCTGTAGACAATATGGAGAAAAAAAATAAAAATAAAAATAATTAAAATATGAATAATCCATCACATATTTTACACAGAAAATTAGAAATCTACCCATATACAGCATTTTAGCAGGACAGTCCTGTGAAATTTTTCACTTTTCTCTTTTTTACATTTATTATCCTTTAAAAAAAACATTTACTTGAGAGACAGTATGGCAACAATTGATATGTCATGACAAGCAGTACATATGTAGCAGACCAGAATGGCAGGCCTTCCAAGTGTGGCCTTTCTATTACATATTGCTTTCTTCAGTGCAGTTGCTTAGTTCACAGGTATCAGCATATATAGTAAGTCGTGGTAAGAATCCTACCAATTAACTGCTAGTTTTGAAACCTGCTGATGTTTCTCAGGATCATTGCTTTACCCATCTTGTGCATATGAATGTATGGCATGGCCCCTGTGATTTTTGTAAGCTTTTCTCCGTGCCCTCTCCTTGCTGTCCAGTCCTCAAGTTTTTCCTTTCCTTTTAATTGTGTTATAACTTCCTATTTCTGTTTCTTCTTTTCAATTCTTATACTAGGGAGACTATATGATATTTACACACGTAGGTCTAGTTTATTTCACTTATGAGTATATCAACTGGCATCCACTCAAATGTAAATGCTACAAGTTTATCATTCTTTATAGCTGAGTAATACTCCATTGTATAAAAATACCACATCTTTTTCACCCACTCTTCAGGTGACGGGCATCTTGGTTGCTTCCAAGATTTGACTATTACTAATTGTGCTGCTGTAAACATAGGTACAGATATCTCACTATGATATGACATTTTCAGTTCCTCTGAGAAAATTCCCAGTAGGGGGATAGCTGGCTTAAATGGGATTTCCAGACCTAGTTTTTTAAGGAGTCTCCACACTGTTTTCCATAATGGTTGCACCACTCTACAGTCCCACCAGCAGTGGGGAAGGGTCCCTTTTTCCCTATAGCCTCTCCAACATTTGTTGTTGGTTGATTTCTTCATGATAGTCATTCTTTGTGGGATGACATGATATCATTGTTATTTTAATTTGTATTTCATGGATGGCCAGTGATATGGAGCATTTTTTCATATATTTATTCAATTCCTTAATTTCATCCTCTGAGAAGTGTATATTCATCTCAGATGCCCATTTCTGGATTGGGTCTTTAAATTTTGGAGCCCTAATGTGTTTTAGTTCTTTATAAATTCTAGAGAGCAGACCTTTGTCTGAGTGCTTATTGGTAAAGACATTTCCAAATTTTTGGGTTGTCTTTTCACTTTGTTGGTAATTTCTTTTGACCTGAAAAGCTTCTGAATAAGAGGAGGTCTCAGTTGTTAATTCTTTCAAGTATTACCCATTCAATTTGATTTTTGTTCATGAATGCTTTCTCTACCTCTATGTCTTCAAGAGTTCCTCCTACTTTCTCTTCCAGGAGATTTAGTGTTTCTGTTTTAATGTTTATATCTTTAATCCATCTTGACGTTAGCTCAGTCCATGGTGATAGACCTTGGTCAAACTTTAGTTTTCGGCATGTAGAGAGCATTTTATCCAGCACCATTTGTTAAGATGCTATCTTTCTTCCACTTATCTTGTTTCACCCCTTTGTTGAAGATTAGGTAACTCAGTGTGTTCGGAGAGGCCTTTGCATCTTCTAATCTACTCCATTGCCCCTCAGGTCTACGTTGTTTCCAGTACCATGCTGATTTTACCACTGTAGCCTTGTACTATAATTTCAAGTCAGGAACTGTGATGCCTCCTGAACTTGTCTTAATTTAGTTTTGTAGTTGATGTCAATTTTTACTTCAAAAAACATTTATTATGATTTCAAATAATCTCTGAAATACATCAGGAAGGGTTGTGTACTGTATCACGTAGTTATTTTGAATATATGTTCTCCATAAGTATGGGAACATGGTACTTTTTAAAAACATTGTATGCGCACATATAGAGGACAATGCACCCAATAATAGCAGTCAATACGTGACTCTGGGTGTATAATCCTCAAACACATAGAGTATATCAACGGGAACAGACTACAAATTTAAAATCATGTCCAGTTGAAAGTCCTCTGAGCTGAAGCTGAAACTATACTGAGACATATATATGCGTTTTACATTACATATACTTTTTATTATTTTTAAAATACTTTTCAGAGACTACAGGATGCTAAAGAAAAAAATTAATATTCTATTATTTTTCCAAACATGTATAACTTTATCTGTTCATCTGCACAACGGATTTGTCGATAAATATAATAATAATATACCAACTACTGTTAATTAGCTCTTCCTGATTTGAAAATCTGTAACACATGTACTGTTATATGTTACCTTGTTTCTGCCTTCTTTGTATTTGTTTCTGCATCTGCTTTATTCTTCAAAATATTATAAAAGTAGAAAAAAAAACTATAGAGAATTTTACAAAACACATTAATAGATATTCAGCAATGGTTGTTGTATTGTAGAATGTGACCTTAAACTTAGTTGTTTACATTAACAAATATAAAAATTTAAATTTACACAAATTTATAGGAAATAAGAAGAAATAAAAGCATTAACTGCTTATTCCAATAGACCAGCATATATCAACAGCACAGTTATCCAAGCTATACTGAATATATACATAAGTATATATGTATATGTACGTACTTAAGTATACCTGTTTCCCTTGTTTCTTTTGTCCTTTTCCTCTTCCCAGTTATTCCTACCCTTTGTACGATTCTTTCCCTATCACAGTATTTATTGTGTCTTTAAAATTTAATCTTCTCCTTCAGATGTTTACAATAGTGAGACAATACCGTATTTGCACAAGTTGGTCTGATTATTTCATTTATGGTTATGGTCTGTAGTAGCACCTATTTACCTATAAAAGCCTTGACTTTGTCTCTTTTTATAACTAAGTAATAGTCCATTGTGTAAAAATAAAACATATTTTTCATCCATTCATGAGTTGATGGGCATTTGTGTTGATTTCAAGATTACATATACTTTTGTGATGTCCTGTATTTAGATTAAAAAAGCCCAAGTTGTGCATCTGAAGTATGCATCACACCCTAGAAAAAAGTAGAGCAAGTGGAGTACAAAGAAAATAAAAGATGGGATACAAACTGAAAGGCATTTTTAGAAAATTAAGGCAGAGAAGAAGTAGAGTTAAATAGGATTCTGGTAACACACTGACGACTCAATGCAACTGACAGAGAAGAGAAAAATTGAAAGCGGGTATATTATGAAAGAAAGGTATCTATTAGGACAGTTACATAGAAACTTTTCATATGAAAGTATAAGCTACTGCATACGAATCTTTGCTCTGAAATCTATAAAACCACAAGAAACGTTGGGAAAACATCCTTAGTACAACTTGAAAACTTCATAGTACTAGCATCGTTACAGTTCCAGGTTTATGAATAGATGGGATCTAATAGCATAATGTTTCTCTGCAAAATATTGATTGATAATATTACCAGTGAAATTTATTGGCATTCAAAAGCGTGCTGACACCATTCTTACAGAGGAAAAGATTGAGGACAATCAATTTGTTTTAAGAAAGGAACCAAACTGCTTTACTAATAGTTGAAACTACACTTACAAGAAACAAAGTTCACAGTCAGCTTTCCTTTTTATACTGAATTCACATGTTCTATTCCAAAACTCAGTTTATAAAATATAATTGAATGCAATAGCTCCTGGGAAAAGTAAAACAAAGCTACTAAATGGACATTGTATAGCACTGTACAACTCTGTAATGTAGAAAGAAACATCAGTAAAGGCATTTTTTAATCCCGTGGGGAGGAGGAGGAGAAAAGTCTCTAAATTCCTCAAAACACGGTGTTTATGGTATCATATAGCACAATGCACAAATTGTGGTCCATGTTTCAAAGCAGGAATGAGAGAAAAGCTTTCTGTATCTGACTTCTACCTGGCATTACCCCATTCATCATGTTCAGTGCAATGAAGAAATCACACAAAACAACATAGAGAAACATGACTGACAGGATTTTCCAGTGATATTAATTTTTAAGTACAACATCTATATGAATGAATAAAATGACACTGGATTTCATTATGGGGAACACAAGAGTGCTTACGGAATAAGATGATTATCAAAAATAAATTTTGTTTCCACACCTCAATCACAAGGCACTCACAGATGAAATATTGATTCCATAACATTTAAAAAAGCACTTTCTAAGATGGAGAACCTAAACAGTGACAACACATTTCATTCAATAGGTTTCTTCCTTCGTACCTCCCTTGGACCTAGCAAATTATGCAAGCTTCTTAATACGAGGTTCGTTCATTGAAATATCTGAAGAAGCATGAATAGACATTTCACTTAGCTTGAATAAATGAAGTAAGAAATAAAAATTGATCCTTCATTACTTTGCAAAACTAGAATATTTTATCGATATACCAGATTAAAAGGAAAAATAAATATGAAATAATGTTATTTAGCAGTTAATCTCTATATACCACTCTGTTAATTTGTGTTTAGAAAAACATGGAAAAGTGAGGTGAGGTGAGGCATGCCTTGAATCCAGGGCTCTGAGAAGTGAGAGGAAAATATTTTAAGCAGTGGCAGCATAATGATTTAAGGAGAACTTTTCAAAAAATAATAGTTTAAAGGGAATGGAGACGTATCTCTCCAAAGTTAGAGTTCTATCTCTCATAAAGTAAAAGACACAGAAAGAAAAAAGAACAAGAAAAATTTTAAAAAATGAGAATTTAATTCAAACAAGTCCAGAGTTTCGGGAAATAGGTTTGTGAAGTAAATATTAAATGTAGGCAATCAAATATTTGTTTTCCTAGATATGGAGCAGTGTGTAAAGTGCCCTGTTCATCAATATGCCAATGCTCAGAAAAATCAATGCGTCCAAAAATCTGTGACATTTCTGGCTTATGAAGAACCCCTGGGGAAGGCTCTGGCTGGCACTGCCTTCACTCTCATTGTGATCATAGCTGCTGCTCTTGGGCTCTTTGTGAAGCACAGAGACACTGCCATTGTGAAGGCCAACAAAAGGGACCTCAGCTACACCCTGCTCATCTCCCTCACCTGCTAATTCCTCTGCTCCTTGCTCTTTATTGGCCCTCCCAACACAGCTACCTGCATCCTGCAGCAGACCACGTTTGGAGTTGTGTTCACTGTGGCTGTTTCTACTGTCTTGGCCAAAACCATTACTGTGGTGCTGGCCCTTAAGGTCACTGCTCCAGGCAGAAGGATTAGGAAGTTGTTGATATCAGGGGCACCAAACTACATCATTCCGACCTGTTCCTTAGTCCAACTCACTCTCTGTTCAATCTGGATGGGGATAAATCCACCCTACATTGACACAGATGCACATTCTGAACATGGCCACATCATCATTGTGTGCAACAAGGGCTCCCTCACTGCCTTCTACTGTGTCCTGGGATACCTGGGCTCCCTGGCCCTAGTGAGCTTCACTGTTGCTTTCCTGGCCAGGAACCTGCCTGACATATTCAATGAAGCCAAGTTCCTGACCTTCAGCATGCTGGTGTTCTGCAGTGTGTGGTTCACCTTCCTGCCCATGTACCATAGCAGCAAGGGGAAGGCCATGGTGGCCACGGAGGTCTTCTCGATCTTGGCCTCTAGTGCAGGGCTTCTTGCCTGCATCTTTGTCCCCAAGTGTTACATTATATTGGTAAAAGTAGAGAAAAATTTTCCGACTGGAATCAGGGACAAAACACATTTTGTGAGAAAGAAGTCTTCTTATCATAAACATATTTCCTAATACACATAGATTTCCTGAATTGAAAGCTAAACCATATTCAAAGTCAGATACTACAGTCTACTATGGGCCTCATATTCTTACTAAGTGATACAACTTCTTTTTCTAATAGCAAGATGTCAAGTAGAAACTGCAGCCCTCATCACTTGAAGCTGATTATTTTCTGGATATTTTCTTTTCTATTTATTCCAGAATTCATTCTATTGTTATGACTGTCTTGTCAACTTTGTCTTTCTTTAGTCGTTCTCAAATTTTTTTCTTAATTTTTTTATTTAAAATAGAATATACTCCTTCTGTATGCCACTGTTTGTGAATCATTTAATATATTTTAATGCTTTTTTTCCCCTTTGAGGATGAGAAGGTGAGCAGATGGCATGTGCACAATGGACACTGGAGAATTAATTTCAAGGTCTGGAGCTCACAGCACTGCTTTATGCAAGTATGTATCAGGAGACCAATGGGTCTGCACTGGAAGGCTGGAGGATCCAAGGCTGCACCTGAAGAGTTGGCCCTAGCAGCCAGGAGATGACATGAAAGCTTAACGTGCAGAGTGGAGCTCTTCCTAATGAAATGGAAACATCTGTCTTTCCTCATTTCCCTCTTATATACTTTAAGTAAAGAGCTACCTTAGGGTGTGGAATGGCGAATGAATTTACTTAAGTCTGTAAAGTTTTTAACTTGACACAGTCGATCAACCAGTACAACACACGTCAGTCTGTATTCAATATTGCACAAGTAGGTGGATATAGCTCACAGTGTGCTCATAGCCAGTTGTTGGCTTCTGAGTCATCATTATTTTCCATAGATATGTATGGAAATATATATATTTGGTTACAGAGTCTCACTACGTAGCTCGGTGATCTTCCTGTGTCAGCCTCCCAAGTGCTGGGAATACAGGCATGCACCACTAGACCCAGAATGTTGGCCAGCTCCATGTCCCTCCATGTGATGCTGGCATGGCATGTGGTGCCCAGGATTCAACCATGGTTCTTGCACATGTCAAGCAGGTGCTTTAGTCTGCTGAGCTATCTAGCCAGCCCCTACCCCTTTCTCTTTATCAATTTAACATTTCCACTATTAATCTTGAATACTTCTTTCTGATTAACACCTTAGTTAGTCATCATGCAGTTGTTTGACCCTGTTGAGAGCATATTTGAATGCAAAACTGGGTCTTTATTTTATTTTATTTTTATTACATGTAATTTAATTTAATTATTTCTTCAAAAAACAAAAGTAAAAAGAAAAATCAGAAAAAAAATGACAGAAACTGGGTAACATACAACAATACATACGTTACAGATTTTCAGAACAAGAATAGCTCATTAAGAATGGTGGACACATTATCTATTTTTATTGTCAAATCTGTTGTTCAAATTAACGGATACAGTTATGTAAGATTGGACATATGATTTCATATTACTGCTGGCTTTTCAGAAACCTTAATTTTTGTTCTTGTATCACATGCTTTTTTTATGTGTGCTTTTTAGGAACATATTTTGAAGAGACCATATTAGTAATTGATATGACATTAGAAATAGTACACATTTGCTTTTTTATTTATTAGTGTATCTAGTACAGGGTCTATAGGGTCCACAGTGTCTCACTATGCAGATTGGACTCATACTAGTCTATTTACTATCATCAATAAATTCTAGCAAATAGAATATAGTAAGTGATCAAGAAGATTATACACCATGACTAGGTAGGATTCATTCCAGAGATGCAAGAAGAGTTCAACATACACAAATCTGTAAACATAATACACTGTATTAATAAAGCCAAAAACAAAAAAAATCACATAACCATTTCAACTGATGCAGAAAAGGCTTTTGACAAAGTGCAACATTCATTCATGTTCAAAGTCCTACAGAAAATTGGAGTAGATGGCTTCTACCTCAATCAGATAAAATCCATCTATGAAAATCCTACAGCCAATATAATACTAAATGGGGAAAACAAATCTTTTACTCTCAGATCAAGCACAAGACAAGGATGTCCTGTATCACCACTCCTATTTAATATATTTCTGAAATCATTAGCTAGAGAATTTAAGCAATATAGAGAAATAAAAAGACTAAGAACAGGTAAAGAAGAAGTTAAACTATCATTATTTGCAGATGACATGATACTTTACTTAGAAGACACAAACAACTAGATCAAGAAGCTTCTAGAATTAGTAAACAAATTCAGTAGTGTAGCAGGTTACAAAGTCAATATACATAAATCCATAGCATTCCTCTACACATATAGCAAGTACACTGAGAGAGAAATGAGAGAAACAATACCTTCACAATAGCATTCACAAAATGAAATACCTGGGAATTATTCCAACTGAAGAAGTAAAACGTCTATAAAATGAAAAGTACAAAGCTCTGAGTAAAGAGATAGAAGAAGATTTTACAAAATAGAATGGTACTACATCCTCCTGAACAGGAAGAACCAATATTGTGAAAATGGTCACACTTCCAAAATTGTTACACAAATTTAATGCAATCGTTATGAAAATGATACCAGAATACCTCAAAATTTAGAGAAAGCATTTCTAAAATTTATGTGGAACCAGTAAAAATCTAGAATAGCAAAGGCAATGCTGGGTAGCAAGGGCAAGGAAAGAGCATTACAATTCCTGACTTGAAATTATACAACAAATCTACAGTGATAAAATCAGCATGGCACTGGGGAAAAATAGACCAGTGGATCAATGAAAAAGAGTATAAGATATAGATATAAGTGCAGACTCAGCCATCTTATCTTTGTCAAATGGGCCAAAGATGACTACTGGAAGAAAGATAGTCTATCCAAGAAATGCTGCTGAATAACCGGATCTCCACATGCCAAAAACTAAAGCTAGATCTGTGTCTATCGCCAAGTATTAAAGACATGTCAAAGTGGATTAAAGATATAAACATTGAAACAGAAGCACTATATCCCCTGGAAGAGAAAGTAGGTGGAAATTTTGAATACATAGGTATTGGCAGACAGTTCATGAACAAAAATCAAACTGCCCGGGATATACTTGAAAGAATTAACAACTGGGAACTCCACTTATTATAAGTTTCTGCACGTCAAAAGAAATCATTAACAGGGTAAAAAGAAAACCCACATATTTGGAAAAAAATTTAACCAATAATCACACAAACGTCTTCTCTCTAGAGTATATAAAGAACTAAAATAAATTAGGGGTTCCAATTTAAAGACACAGTCTGAAAATAGGCTTTGGTGATGAATACACAATTCTCAGAGGGAAGAAATACAGTAGGAAAACAATTACATGAAAAAATGCTCCACATCACTGGCCATTTAAGAAATGCACATTAAAACAATATTGACATACCTTTTCACCCAAGAAAATTTGGTTATCGTAAATAAAACAACTAATAACAAATGTTGGAGAGGCTGTTGAGAGAAAGGAACCTTTCTCCACTGCTGGTGAAAACGGAGACTGGCATAATCACTATGGAAGTCACTGTAGGGACTTCTTAAAAAATTAGGACTGGAAATCCCATTCAGTCCAGCTGTTCCCCTTCTCTTCCCCCTTTTTCCCAAAAGAACTAAAAATATCATACCATAATGATATGCTTGCACCCATGTCTATCAGCAAAATTGGTTATAGCCGAATCTTGGAAGTAGTCAAAATGCCCATCACCTGAGGATTTGGTGGAATAGATGTGGTTGTTTACACAATGTACTATCACTCAGCTATAAAGAAAGAAAAACTCAAAGCCTTGATATGTAAATGGATGCAACTACAGGCTCTACTTATAAGTGAATTTTTATTTATTTATTTATTCTTACTTTTTAAAAATATTTTAGGAGTGAGTGAGACGACCCAGGCCGCGGGGTCCTGAACAGACCCAGAGCTCAGGCCGGCGAGTGAGTGAGACGACCCAGGCTGCGGGATCCTGAACAGACCCAGAGCGCAGGCCCGGTGAGTGAGTGAGACTTCCCGGGCCCAGGGATCCTCTTCTGACCCAGGCTGCAGGCCCAGCAGGGAACCCTTCAGCAGAACTCCCTGAAAAAAGGCGAGAGGCAAGACCCACACAGCTGATTCAGGAGCAGAACATCTTGCCAAAGAGACACAAAAGGGGTCAACTCTAACACCTGCAGCAGAAAGAAGTGGAG